TCTCACCCTCTCACCATCTCAGACAATGGCAACAGACGAAAACACAGTTCCTCACCCTCTCACCAGCTCAGACAATGGCAACAGATCCTCCCCATGCTTTCAGACAATGGCAAAACTATCACCTCTCACCCTCTCACCCTCTCACCCTCTCACCATCTCAGACAATGGCAACAGACGAAAACACAGTTCCTCATCCTCTCACCGACATATAGTTTGTTCTATTGATTTCTCTTATTCTGTATATTTCTTAAAATGCTTTGATGTTAATCAGAGTTTGATTATCACCAAACTGAATCAAGTTTTCCATATTTTTGTTGTTCTTCTAATGTTTTCCTCCTCTGTTTCTTCTTTGGCTTGAGAGTTCAATTTAGCAAATGAACAGTTGGAAGTTCTGGATTTTATATAAGCTTAAACCATAGTTTAACCCTATATTTTCTTATTAATCCTTTCTCTTTTCTATTTTCAGCTTCCTTTCATTTGGGAGACCGATTTAAGAGCTGAATGATYGTTTGAGGTTTTCCATAACCTTAAAACCTAGCTGCCCCTCTGTTGTTTTATAAATCATGTTTCTGTTTCCTTTTTTTTCACTTATTCTCAGTTGTCTTCATATGTTTGGCTTTCTTTCTGCAATGCTATCTTAGCGTATAGATTTTGTAGTTCTTACCATAGGAATATAGGATGCATTCTTTGATTTTATATTTTGCTATTTAATTTTTTTATTTTTCACCCCTACACATTTCTTCAAGCTCTTTCTTCTCCCTACCTGCTTCAGTGCATATATCCCAGAAATCTATTGCATTTCTTGTACGTGGTATCTTTGTCATTGATGAATCAGATGCAACCTGTGGAAAGAGGATGGCATTTTGGTAAATTTTGAAGAGCTAACTTGTAATTAAAGGGAACAAATGGTCCCAAACCCTCTTCGGCTCGTGTCACAAGTTTGATTGATAGATTGATAGTGGGTAGCCTAGGGCCTAAATGCTCCATCTTAGTGTTGGGCGTCAGAGCGAAGTTGGGCCAATTGATTTGAATTGGCCTAATACAAATGTGGGAATATCTTCGGATAGGGGCAACTTAAAGGCTTCAAAAATAAAAGAGTCAAAGAGTGGGGTTTTGGGAAATGACAAGATAATCCTGGTTGGGGATGATAGAGGAAGCTCTGGTAAAGTAGTAAAGATGTTTAGTAAGGTTGGTTCTAAGGTGTCAAGAGATGGTTATGTCTGTTTCTTAACCCATTTCTTCTACAGTGACAACAATGTTGATACAGATAGATGTGAAGTCGAAAGGAGTTCGAGGAAGGTGATTGATGCCGCTGACAGGGTTAAATGTACAGGGGTAGGTAGGAAAGCTTCAGCCGCTGGAGTTATAGAAGTGAGAAGGTTCAATTTCATCAACAGGGTAAGGAATTTCAACCTAGAAAGCAAAGTGGGGAAGAAGGGGTTTCAATAATTCCTAGCCGAGATTCTTCTAAGGAAAGAAAATACAGAGTTAAATTAGGTAAGGGAATATATGAAGATGGAGCTCAGAGGGGAAAAAATCTAGAAAGGGATGGGAAGAGTGGAAAAGGATTTATTCGATCAGAAGGTTATTGGAAGGTGGGCTAGATTTTATCGAATGGATAGGTAGTCAGGTAAGCATTTGTAATGGTAAGGGTAGTGCAATGGAGAAAACGGGGTGTGAGGAAGCTGAAAAAGAAAGGGCAGGGTCAATGAAGGGAATAAAGGGGTGGTGGGTCAAGAAGAGAGAGATGAGGGAACAAGAGGAAGCCAGCGGTAGAGGAGAAGGAGATGATCAAAGTGGATGCTAGCCAGAATACTGTTGCGGTAGAGGACAAGACAGTAGGTGTAGGAATTAGCAGTGTGAGTGGGACCAACCCAGAAAAGGCTGTGTTGACGAGGGGAAGTTTGTAGTAACATGGCACTGATGAAGGTCTACAACATAAAAGGAAACTATAGAACAAAACCACTCAATGATATTGAAGAAGATGAGTCTTAAGAAGATGATGTGATTTTGACGGGACACATGAAGTGGAGAGTTCTACAATAGAAAGTGATTTGGTGAAGGTCTACAACAGAAAAGGAAACTATAGAACAAAACCACTCAATGATAATGAAGAAAGTGATGTTGATATTGAAGAAGATGATGTGATGTTGATGGGACACATGAAGTGGAGAGTCTATTGATTTGGAAACAGTACTAAACAAGGAGGTATAAGTGACCAAAATATTGGATTTATTTTTCCCAGGAGGAGAAGAATTTGCAAGGAAGGCATTCATAGAGTTGGAAGAAAAGGAACAGGAGAAAAAGAAATTGGTGGTGGCAGGAAATTGTATTAATCCAAAGGTTAATGATGCACAAATTGGGTGGAGACTAGTGGGAATTCCAAGAGAAGGTAAAGAGGAGGATGGAGAGTTGGTTGCAGCTCAGATATTTGAGAAGAATGTGGTTCTGGAACTAGAAAGGATAGCCGAGGGTTCTAAGGAACAGAAAATGCTTAAAAAGAATATTAATGCAGTGAAGCGCTTCAGATATCAGGAGAAGCACAGAGCTGTTTCAGTGTCAAAAGCTTTTGCAAGATTAAGAGGAGGTTCATTTGGGATTGGACCTGTCAAAAGTTTGCAGGAAATGGACAACATATTTGATTTGAAGGTATTTAAGGTGACAGTCAGTGATAGTTTGATGTTGAAGTTGGGGAATTGGATGGGGATTTGATCATTATTCGGGCAGAAAATTGTAGTCAAAAGCTTTTTGCTGCATTTTATTCGCACAGGGGGGTCTCTTGGTTGAAGTTGTGAATGGGTGTGAAGGGTTGTTTTACTATATGTTCTTTTATAATTCTCTCAGGTGACTGCTGGTAACCTTTCTTCTACTCTTCTTTTTGTCCAATAAACTTTATTTTATCTTCCAAAAGAAAAAATGTTGTCTCAATTATATGTCAATATCTGCATCTAAAGATGTAAAAAGAAAGAAGAAAGATCTAAAGCAATTACTTGACTGAGTTGATAGGAAAGGAAAAACAATCTGCACAATGTGGATAAACATAATGACTGGGATTTCAGATATGTTCCTGGATGGACTAATTGAACCACAAGTTACAATTTTAAGCAAATCATTCCACAATGATTTATATAGAGAAGAGTTCCCACATGCCCTACATTGGTAACCCCTTTCTATTCCTGATTCCTGACAAACTTATTGATGTAATTATTGACAAAAAGAACTTTTTATTCCTAGTGAACTGGTAGAAGACTACAAATATGTCAGTACAAGCCGAAGTTCACAATTTGTAGAATGTAAATGGGTTAGCAGGTCAGCAATGGCATGGTTGATGCTCTATCTAAACTAGGAGTAAAGAGAATATTATTTTGGGGAAACTGTAATGACCTAGTGATGTAATATATGGCCATATGCACAATTTTGGGGATGGGGGCAGGAGGCCATAGTGCCTTGATGAGAGTTTCATGTGTATTTATTATCTTTTGGTTCTTTTTTTAACAAAATCTAAGTTATCCTTTCAACAGCAAGAATGCTATGCAAACAACATACAAACAAACAGATTTGGGGCTCACGTACCATCCAAAGCTTCCTCATCAGTGATGCTATAGTATTCAGCACGTCCTAAATCTTTTAAAAAGCTGTGCTCTGGTCCCACCCCAGGGTAATCCAACCTATACAAAAGACATGAAATGAGTAAAAGTGACCACATAGATACAAAGCAGAGAATGGCAAACAAGACAACCACAAACCAGGAACAAGGGAAAATTTGAAAATTTATTCTCACCCAGCACTAATAGAATGAGGTTCGACTATTTGCCCATCATCATCTTGCAATAAATAGCTCATAGCCCCATGCAGTACTCCTACCTCCCCTTTTGTCAAAGTAGCAGCATGCTTGCCAGTATCTAAGCCAAAACCTGCAGCCTCCACGCCAATCAACCTAACATCCGCATCATCAACGAATTCATGAAATAGACCCATCGCATTTGAACCTCCACCAACACAGGCAACCAGCACATCTGGTTTTCCACCCCATTTCTCCATTGCTTGTTTTCTTGTTTCTTTCCCAATCACAGCATGGAACTCTCTCACCATCATAGGATATGGATGTGGCCCAGCAACAGAACCCAAAATATAATGAGTTGACTCAACATTAGTCACCCAATCCCGAATAGCCTCTGATGTTGCATCCTTTAGTGTGGCTGTCCCAGAATGGACAGCCCTCACCTGCATCACATCAATGCAAAACAATTCTATAAGAAATATGGCAGGACAAGGAACACTCTAATCCACAATACAATGAATGCAGCTTTCACATAACTGACAATCCAGTATCTAATCATTTAGTTTTTGTAGGTTTGAGAAAGCTATAAATAGAAAAGATCCACCTTGACCATATTAGAAGTGTGAGATGTATATAAAAAATTAAGTGGTAATTGAATCATGAAGCATAAGGTAAACCTTATGGTCATTGGTCTCAAGAACAAAGAAGACAGTGAAAAAAATTAATAGCGTCATCAGAAATTTGGGGTTTAGCTTTTGGGAAAAAATAGTAGCAGAAAGCACAAATATAAGCACCATACACACAAGAAAATTTCATCTCCTCAACACAGATCATCTAAACACATTAGACAAAATGATGTCTATTTGATCAGGTAAAATAATCCATATTCACTTGACAACAAAATTGTTTAACTGGCTTCGAAGTTCTGACACCCCTGTAACTTCATTCTTCTATATGATACTTTTCCTTGAGCATGAAGGTCCAACAAATATGGAATGATAGAGAAAACTGGGCAAAGATGCAAAATCCAAATAAAGGAAGAAATGTCTTTGTATAGTACTCACATGCAAAGAAATTTCAAACCAAAGTAAGGGGTACAAAAATTTTTCAAGAATAGTTACAAAAGATTCTTACCACCACCATACAGCTAAAACATTTTAGGGAAAAAAAAGACAAGGTGACCCACTCTCTCCCTTCCTCTTCACACTTGTTGCTGGTGTGTTTAGTAGATTGATCCCCAAAGCAGATGAGTAGGAGCTAATAAGAAGTTGGAGACTAGGAAGGAGAAGCATTCCGGTGACCCACCTTCAGTTTGCTGATGATATTATTATCTTTTGTAGGGGGAGTGACTTAAGAAAGGTGGACAATCTTAAGAATCTAATGAGAGCCTTTGAGAATGCTTCCAATTTGAGGATAAACCTTGATAAATTTGTGTTGCTGGAATAAATCTGGAGGATGGGGAGGTAGAGTCCATTGCAGCTTGCCTAGGTTGTGCCACCTCTTCTTGGCCTTTGACCTACTTAGGGCTTCCCTTAGGTGCAAATCCTAAAGAGAATAGTTTTTACTCCCCTATTGTGGAGAAATTTGGGAAATATTTGGTGACCTAGAAAAAGAATTAAATCTCTATAGGGGGTAGAGTGACTTTGATTAGGGCAACACTTACCAAGGGAGGCTAAGAAATAGGAAAAGGTAATGAGGGATTTCTTGTGGGAACCAGGAGAGGTGAAGAAGGATCATCTAATCAGATAGGAGATAGTCAATAAAAATAAGGAAGAAGGAAGCTTGGGGATAGGAAACATAGTTCAAAAGAATGAATCTCTATTAGGGAAGTGACTATGGAGATGGCCTCTGGAGAGGGAGAGATTATGTCATGAGGTGGTGTTAAGCACTTAATCATTCATGGCTGCTCAGAGAATGGTTGGGATTCTAGGATATCTCATCAAGCTACTCTCAAAACACCTTGGAAGGCTATACATGGTATTCTCCCTCGCTTCCTCGGGTTTATCATGTATGAAGCTTGCTCTGGTATTTCTACTCGGTTCTAGGAGGATGTTTGGGTGGGTAACTAACCCCTTAAGGATCTTCCCCTCTCTCTCTCCCTTTACAAAAATGAGCCAATTTCAAAGTTTCTCCCTAGTYCGGTACTTCCTTTGTCTTTAAATTGGGACTTTGGCTTTAGTAGGGTATTAAGGGATGATGAATTGATTTGTGTTTCTGAGTTGCTTCAATTACTTGAGTTGGTATGTTTGGACCCCACTAAATCAAATCAAAGAGTTTGGACCCCTCTTCCAAAAGGGACCTTTACTTGTGCTTCCTTTCTAAAATCCCTCACTTCCAACCATAACCCCCGGGTGTCCCCTATTAAAGAAGTTTGGATAAGACCTATTCCCCCCAAAATTGTTGTTTTTTATTGGGAAGTATTCTATGGGAAAATCAACACTTTGGAAAGCCTGCAAAAGAAGAGACCTAATCTTTGCCTCTCCCCTAACCGGTGCTTCCTGTGTAAGGCCCAAAATGAGAACTGTTACCATCTACTAATTTCTTGCTCCTTTGTTGCAGCCTTATGGAGTTGGAGCTTCAGTTTATTTGTATGTAGGTGGAACCCACCGTCTAATGTAAGTATGTTGTTTAATCCATCTACTTTTGGGTGGCACTGAGAAGAGGTAAAATTATGTGGAAATGAATCAAGGCAGCTATATCATGGACTCTTTGGGAGGAAAGTAATGTTAGAACCCTCCTAGAGAAGGAAAGAAGTTTTGCTGAAGTGAAGGAATAAATCTTAACTAGAGTAATCCATTGGCTAAAAACATTGGCCCTGTTTGCTGAATTCTCCTTCGATGATCTTTGGAAGTGGCTACGTTCACTAGGAAGAATAGAAGTGTGGTAGAGTGGGAACCTCTTCCGGAAGGTGCCATTAAATTGAACTTTGATGGGAGCAACCAAGGTAACCCTGGGCCTTCGGGTGTAGGGAGTGTACTAAGAAATAAGGACAACAACATTATTTCCTTATTCTTAGGACCAGTGGGAGTGGGAAACTCTACAATTAAATTGAACTTTGATGGGAGCAGCCAAGGTAACCCTGGGCCTTCGGGTGTAGGGGGTGTACTAAGAAATAAGGACAACAACATTATTTCCTTATTCTCAGGACCAGTGGGAGTGGGAGACTCTACAAGAGCTGAGTTACTAGCTACGGTTCAAGGGATCCAAGTTGCCAACCAGCTTGGGGTGGAACATCTTTTAATTGAAGGAGATTCTCAGGTGGTAGTAGGGCGGTTGTCAAACCCAGACATTGCCATTTGGGGCTATAGAGACCTCCTCAAAAAAGTGAAGTGGCTAACCAGTAATATGAAAGTTGATGTTAAATGGGTAAGCAAGTCGGCAAATACTGTGGCTGATTCCTTGGCCAAGCAAAATCCAGGGAAGGTCTTTTTGAGGCTAGTTTGTAACTTATTCTAGTAAGTCTTGAAAGTTGTATCTAACTTTTCTAGAGAGGTCGCATCTCGTGCCTCTCCTTGGGATGTTTGTACTCTTTATCTTTGGTGCCTAATAAAATTCATTCATTTACCAGAAAATAAAAACACTTATAATCAAGGGGGAATTGTTTTCTCCTATAGCACCTAGCTGCATCCCATCTTTTCTCCTACCCTACCACCAATCAGCATGTCATCACCAATATAACTGAATATCATAATCATCATCATCTGAACCTTGTCTCAAGTACATGAATCTTGTTCTGCTATTCTATTCTGTACAGTGCCATATCAATTGTTAAATTATGAGCCCTTCAATCATTCTTGACTTAATGTCCTTTCTGGTCTGCCCCAAGCTCTACTATAGCCCCTTCAACTTGTAACAAATCATTTCTTATTAATGGTGCTGTAGGTGGTCATTCTGCATGTACCTAAACAATCTTAGTCCTCTTCCCCTCATTTTATCACCTATTGGAGCTACTCCTAAGTTCCTTCGGGTAAATTCATTTCTGCTCCTACTCTTTCTAGTTCTACCATTCATTCATCTCAACATTTACATTTCTGCCACATTCATTTTTTTTACATGTTTTCTCTTGACCGCCCAACACTTAATCCATACAACATTGCTGCTCCTACAACTGTCTCGTAAATTTTTCCTTTTAAATTAATTGGTATTCTCCTATCACATAAGACTCGAGATGCACCCCTCCATTTTACCAATTCCACTCTAGTTCTACAAGCAGCATCCTAATCAATTTCTCCCTTGTTATGGATTATCAAACCAAGGTAATTGAAGATGTCACATTAAATTAGCTTTTGGTCTCCAATCCCAAGCATACTCTGATTTCCACCCCTATTATTATCAAATTTGCATTGCATATGTTTTATTTTAGTCCTACTTTTTTTGGAGAAAAAAAAAGCAGAAATTAAGAACCAAAGAATTTCAGAAGGTGTCCTTCAAGGATCTAGAAAGATATCTTTTGGGGATCCTTCAGTCCTCCCCCCAACATTCCCCAACGAATACTCATTCTGAGGAGAAGATGAAGATACATTTTAATGAGACTGCTACATAATCCAAGGCCGGCCTTTCCATCATTTCATTCCTGGAAGGGGTTTACCTGGAAGATAGCCTGTTTTCTGTCTTTCGTGGACCCATAGGTTGCATTTGTTTGCGGTGTCAATCAGTATCAATGTAAAACTTCACCACCTGTTCGTTTTTGTAGGCATTTGTTTGCAGTGTAAATCAAGATTGATGTAAAGCTCCACTTTCATTTCAGATTTACCAGTGTTTGGATAGAGTGGAGTTTTACATCGTAAATCAATGTAAAACTACATCGAATATCGATATAAATATTACATCTATTATCAATGTAAATATTACATTGATAAAATCAATGTAGTATTACATCAACAATCATGTTTTTCAAAGCACAACGGTTCAGAGATTATAAACCATTGGTATTGAACTCCATTGATAACRCAGCCATAAGGAATGCAGATTCCACAAAGGCAGAGATGGTTTCTCTACTAACCAGCATGCAATAGTTTTAAGATTGCATCCCTAATCAGACCTTTGAAGGCAATTCATCTTATGCTATCAAATAGAGTATGAGGATTTGTTGAAAGAAGTGAAGGCATGGCAATGACCTTAGTGAGATTAGGGAAATTCTTTCTACCTTAGAAGTTCCAATCAATGGATCTATGGAGAGTTTAATTTGATTGCAGATGGATTGGCAGGATCAAGTGTGGGGAGAGGACTTGTCTCTGGGTACAGTGGCAGTTCTATGTCTGCTTAAATTTTTGAAGAGGATGGACTGCAATGTAGATCCTTTTATGTACATTCTCTCATGTAGGCATCTTTCTCTTTCATGAAATGTAATAAATTATAGCTACCATCTCAAACGAAATGAAAAGAAAAACACATGTACAAAGAATAGTAGAATTACAATCCAAATACAATATTCAGAAGTCATTTAATCCATACACATATTTTTACAAAAAAATCAGATCATTTAACTATGCAATTCTAAGGCACAAAAGATGTAAAGCTGCCAGAGTATTATTGTCCACCTTTACCATAGAAAAAGATCTGAAGCATCAAAAATAACCACATTAAAAGATAAATGTGACTAGAATCATTTGACATGAAGTCTGCAAATCAAGTAGGGCATAGTTCTTTTCACAGAACTATCCACAAATAGTAGTGAAATTGGTAGCACATATATCACTGTTAGTAGGACGTGATTCCTTTTCTAAAAGTAGCCCCTGAAATAGTTTCAATGGTCAGAACAAGATCATGAAATGCCAAATGACCCACTTGTCATGGCTCCAGTCTCAAATTCATCAAAAATAATTTAAAAGGTACCATCTCACTGTATCTGTAGTTTCATTTAGAATCATCGCTCAGTTCCTTTTTAGTTGGAAAGTATGCCTTTTTCCAATAAACCGCCAAACATTGCAGAAAATATAAAAAGATATACAATCAAATGAGGAAAGAGTGAAAAAAATAACAAACCTCAGCCCCAAGAAGCCTCATTCGGAAGACATTAAGGGCTTGCCTCTCCATATCCTGGGCACCCATGTAGATGATGCACTGCAAGCCAAACCTAGCACATACAGTTGCCGTTGCTACTCCATGCTGTCCTGCTCCTGTCTCAGCTATGATACGTTTTTTCCCCAAACGCTTGGCAAGCAAAGCTTGAGCAACAGCATTGTTGATCTTATGAGCCCCAGTATGGTTGAGATCCTCCCTCTTCAAGTATATGAGTGGGCCTTCACCGTTCGGAAGTTTATAGTGCTCCGTGAGCCGCTCCGCAAAGTAAAGTGGGCTTTCCCGCCCTACATAGTCTCTCAAAATCCCGTCTAGTTCTTTCTACAATCCAGATAAAACAATACAGAAATTAATCAGAAAAGGAATCAATAAGAAACAGAAAAGGGGGAAGGAGAAAGTATTGAAATAAATCATGGAGAAGACAAGAAAATAAGTGAATTCCACGAAGTTTTCAAATAAAAAAGATTAACTCTAGAGTCTCTTATTTAAAACAGTCACACACTAAGCTGTAGTAAAGTGCAAAAGTTTCAAAGAGAAGTTAGTGTCAAGTACGTGTATGGAAAATGGAAACCCCCCACCCTTGTTTTTTTCTGCTGCTAACGGCCATGAGCCTGTATTCCATCATTTTTTCTCAGATAGTATGCCTTCTTCTTAGACCTTAACCTACCAAGGTAACTGTTCAAATCACTCGGCAACTTTTTAGAGTCCTAGTTTCTTCTCATTCTCTCAGGTTGCCAAGTTATCAAGCTCCCCAGCTTTTACTTGCCTTTATACCTTTTCCCTCCACACTTTTCACTCACCAGTTTTACTCACCTTTATACCTTTTCCCCTCCACACCTCTCACTTATCAGCTTCACTGTTCTGTCCGTGACTACCCCACATGGACCCCAAGATCAGTAAAGGCAAATAAGTATCGTGGCTGACACACAACCACCAGCCAGCAAAGACCTAGAAAGTTATTTTACACATACAGTTACAGTAGTAGCTGACCAAGAATTTCCCTCCTTTGACCCGGTAGAGGAAGCGGTGCATGTTACAAATCTGACATTAAAAGGAAGGATCTTCCCCAGGCAACAGGTAAGCAAGGACACCCTCGAAAACCATGTCCGAACTTTATGGGTGGTATCTGCTGCAGTCACAGCAAACGACAGAAACAACAGGTATGGCTGGATCCTCTTTGATGGAGGACACATAGAGTTCATTTTCGAGGACGAAAACGACAGAAACAACACTTTGAATGGCGGTTCCATGGTTCTTCCGAAACAACTGGATCCTCTTGGAAGAATGGAAAGACTCATACACTGGCATGGTAGAGCAGGTCTGGACTCAACAGGTATGGCTGCAAATTCACATGATTCCAAAAGGTATGGTCGAAGACAAAATAATATGCTTTCTGGCTTCCCATGCAGGTCAGGTAGTTCCGAAGCAGGAAAAGGTGAAAACAGGCCACCTCACCAGAGGCCTGCATGTAAGAAAGAAAATAGTTGTAAATCTACAACAACCTCTGTACACAGGAAGGTTCATTTTTTATCAGGGGAAGCCCATATGGCTTCGTTACTGTTACTAACAGCTTCCACGCTTTTGTGCAAATTGTGGCCTTGTAGGTCACACCGTCACATCTGGTCAAACTGTAAAAGGCTAGACCCTTCAATTCAAGACCACAAACAGCGTCTTGAAAACAGACCCATAAGCTACCCGGGTGACTGGATGAAAGCAGATCACCGGCCGGAAAAACCTTTGGTCATACCAACTTTCTCCTACGCTTCATCAGAGCCAGAAGCTTGCAAAATCAGGGATGGAGAGCACAGATCCAATGAARACTCAGAGCATGGCACGGATGGACATAAGCGTCATTGCCTTGATCAAGCAGCCAGCGGGGGATATTGTTTCAAACCGGTAGGAAACTCCGGCGAACCACAAGAGCAGCAAGTGCAGCAACCAGTCGAACCAACCCAGGGTGAACACATGGCCATGCAGGTGGGAATCAGGCAGGCAGTACAAGAAGAACATGGTGTCCATGCAAATGTAACAGACAACATGCAAATGCAACGTGGAATTCATGCACAAAGCTCTCAATTGCAAAATGGCTGGCATGCAACAATTCCTGAATCCAAGTGGTTGTGCATATCTGACATTGATGGGAAAATCTGGGCTTTATACATAATAACAAAAAAAAGGAGGTATCAGGGCCATAGATCTTCGTACGGACAAAAAAGAAAAGGAGACGCCCCTTCATGAGCCTCCTGGATGCAACCTCCAAAAATACCATCATCACTCAACATGGGGACCTTATCTATTATTTCCCCGAGCCCAAAGAGCATCCAGCAGAACCGCCAACCCAACCCTTCATCGAACAGTTATTTACACCGCACACACGGAGCTTAAATAACCTTCCGAACCTTAACACTACAGAGCAATCATTACCATCAATGTGGAAACCGGCTTGGATACCAGATCTAACAGTCAATGGAGGAAATCCTCATAAGAGAAATAGAAGCAATAGGAGTCTGATACTTGGCAACCAACCCACTACAGATTTGATCCGGAATTTGGAAGACATCAATCCACACTTTCTCTCACAACAGGTACCTCCATCTCAATGTGTTATTGTTATTTTTTTTGGTAAGATGTGTTATTGTCATTTATAGCATACAATCTCTGCTTTTTACTCGTGGCATTTCAGCACTGTGCACAAAGTCAGACACCTGCAGAACTTAGTTAGGCAGTCAACCCCAGATATCCTCTTCTTGTGCGAAACCAGGATGTCAGCGTCAAAATCTTCCAGCCTTGCAAAATCTCTCAAATACCACCATTTTACACTACAAGAAGTACAAGGTCAGTCAGGGGGGTTATTGTGCTGCTGGTCAAGTCATCCAAACACAAACATTCACCAAGTCCATCGTAATTTCATCATATTACAAATTAACAATTTCCCCAATAAAAGTCCCTGGCTCTTGGTACTTTTTATGGACATCCACAAAAACACCCAAGGAGGGGAGTCTTACATAAATTGACACAAATCTCAATACCTGTCCATCTACCCTGGCTGCTTGTTGGAGACGTTAATGATCTGCTCTCGATCCATGACCAAAAGAATTACAGAAACATATTTCAGATGCCCTAAAAAGAATTATGTGAAGATGCACTAGAGCAGCAGTGATCTGGACAATTTGGGAGGAAAGGAATCTAAGAATCTTTGAAGACAGGGAAAGAAGTAAAGAAGCTGTGATTGAGATGATTACTCTCAGAGTAGCACATTGGGTGAGCACTTTAAAGCTCTTTGCTGACTTTAAGGTTGAAGATTTCTGCAGATCGTGGGGAATAATTGCAGGTTCTTCGTTTAGAAGACAGATTGTTCATGAGGCCTGGTCTCCTCCATGTGTTGGGTGGAGAAATTAAACTTTGATGGTAGTTGTATGGGCAATCCTGGACCATCTGGTATTGGTGGGGTAATTAGGGAAGAAAATGGAAACATTCTAGCTTTGTACTCAGATCCTATTCAGCACGGAGATGTGGTGAGATCAGAATTATTGGCAGCAGTCTATGGAGTAGAGAAAGCTAAAGAAATGGGGATTACTAAGCTGATTGTTGAAGGTGATTTAAAAGTAGTTGTGGGCTGGTTGAAAAAAGGGGAAGGAATCATATGGAAGTTAAGGAATGAATTCAGGAGATTCAAGCAGATTTCTAAAGATATGATGATCCAAATAAGATGGATTAGGAGGTCTGCAAACAATTTGGCTGATGGCCTGGCAAAGCAAGGAACTCAAAGACACTCTATGTTCTGGGCAATTCTGTAAATAGTGAATAGTTTCTGGGTGGGCTTTGTTTTTGTGCCCACAAATCTTTGTTGTACCTCTTTTTTAATCTAATGAATCAATTTTGTGTTGCTGATCAAAAAAAAAAAGAATTACAAAAACATATCCCCCAAACCCTCAAAGTAATTGCTGCAATTCACCCAGAACTTTGGACTGATCAGCATTGACTACTTGGGACCCCCTTTTACATGGACAAATGGCCAACATGGTCCCAAAAAAGTACAAGAGAGATTGGACAGGGCTTTTGCAACCCCCACCTGGTTGGATCTGTACCCGAATTCTATAATCCAAACCTTACCATTTTAGCCTCTAACCACGCCCCAATAAAGCTTATGAGTGAACCCCCTAATATACCTACTAGGCCATCCCATTTTCACTTTCTCCCCTTCTGGTCAGAACATGAAGGCTGTAAAACTATAATAGCCACCACCTGGGAACAACAAATAAGAGGATCACCTCATTTTCGCATAACCAGTAAGTTAAAGCAATGCAAAAAAAAAAACACTCTGCTGGAGTGGAATTGTACCACTTTTGGAAAAATCCAAAACCACCTTCAAAAGTTCTCAACAGAAATCTCCTCTCACCACCTACAAAACAAAGAACCTCAACTCCTGAGATCTCTCCAAGAACAGTACTCTATTACTGGTTACAAAAGGAAGAAGAGCTATGGAGATTGAAATCAAGGGAACTCTGGTTAAGCGAAGGAAACAAGAACACAAAATTTTTTCACAGCATGGCCAGACAAAAAGGAATTAGAAGTAGTGGATTATGGATTAACACCTACAGGGGAATGGACATCGAACAAGACAAAGATTGTCGAGCTCTTCATCAACAAAATAAAGGAGATAGGTGGAATCTCAGAAAATGTAAACACAAAAATACTCTCTCAATTACATCTTCCCCAAATCTCAGAACAGCAAAGACAACAATTGCTGCTCCCACCCACTTTAGAGGTGGTCACCCAAGCAGTCTATCCACATAAAGCCCCGGGGCCGGATGGGTTCACAGCTTTATTCTACCAAAAATATTGGGATATACTAGGGAATGATATATACCAAATGATCCTTCACTTTATCAGACTGAATACCTTCCCAAAGAAACGAATAACACCATTTTGGTCTTTGTCCCCAAAAATCAGAACCCCATGGAGACACAGCCCACTACCGACCAATAAGTTTATGCAATGTCCTATACAAAATTGTTTCAAAATGGATGGTGATGAGACTGCAGCCAATCCTAGGAGAAGTTATCTCCCCTCTCCAGTTGGGATTTCTAAAAGACAGGCAAATTGCAGACAATATCCTAATAACAAAAGAAATCCTACACTACATAAGAAGACAAAAGAAAGGGAAGGGACTAATTGCTCTCAAGCTAGATATGTTGAAGGCTTTTGACCATATGGGATGGAGCTTCCTGAAAGAAACATTAGGACAAGTGAGCTTCCCGACAAAATGGGTGAACCTCATACACCAATGATTTCAATGCCTACCTTCTCAGTCAAGGTGAGTGGCTCTTGTCATGGACACTTTAAACTGGAGAGAGGCCTTCGGCAAGGCGATCCATTATTTCCATACCTATTTATTATAGGAACGGAGGTACTCACCCAATTGTTAGCTGCAGCAGAACAAGAGGGTTTGATTGAGGGTGCAAAGATTTGCAGAAATGGCATCTCCATCGCATATTTCCTATTTGTAGATGACTGTATTGTCTTCTGTAAAGCTGACATAGGGTAAGTGAGATCATTGCAAAGCATCTACAATCTGTTTGAACAATTATCAGGGCAGAAAATAAATTATGAGAAATCATCAATTATGTATAGCCGGAATATGCCTAGGCATCATCAAAAAATCCTCTCACAGGTGCTCAACATTCACAAGACACTGCATAGGACCAAGTATCTAGGTGCACAAGTAGGAGTCAGGGATGATAGAATAGCCACACATCAACATATACAGGACAGAATAGTGGCAAGGATCTCTTCGTGGAGTTCAAAACTGCTATCACAAGCAGGGTGCACCACCTTAGTCAAATCTGTGTTGCAAGCCATCCCAGTCTATTCCATGCAAACAACCATTTTACCATAAGGAATACACTCCAAACTGGATAAAAACACGAGGGATTTCTGGTGGCAAGGGAATAAGAGTGGGGCCAACCACACCATAAAGTGGAGTAAGATATGTCTGCAAAAATCGAGAGGTGGCCTAGGATTCAGACAAAGTAGTGTGATGAATAAGGCACTATTTGGTAAACAAACTTGGAGGTTGGTAGCAAATCCGAATTTGCTTTGGAGCAGAATGATCAAACAGAAATACTTTCCAAATAAAAGCCTTTTTGAAACCAAGCCAAGTAAAAATTCATCTTACTGGTGGAAACAAGCACATAAAATCCTCTAAGAACTCAGGCCAAATTTTCTATTGGCAAATACATAGTGGAACAGATACTTTTGCCTTTGTAGACCCCTGGATTCCCAACCCTACCAGGTGGTATACCAGCCCCTAGAGACCCCACTAACCCGCAGATCAAGAAACTAAAAGTTTCACATTTCATCAACCGAGATGGGAGCTGGAACCAACCCCTAGTACACCAGTTCTTTGAGCCTTCAGCACACTCACATGTCCTCCAAATAACCCCAACTGTTGACACAGGACAAGATACAGTCATCTGGAAGTATAGCACATCAGGCAGTTACACAGTTAGAACAGCCTACCATTCGCTAATAAACTCCAATCCATCTACCTCTGAACCTCACCTCAACTGGAGTATTCTATGGAAACTTAAATTACCATACAGATGTGCAGTTTTTCTATGGAAACTAGCATGGGATGGTGTTCTTACTCGAGTTAAGTGTAGACACTGGATACAAAGAGATGAACTTTTGTGTTCTCTCTGTAACTCACACACAGAAACACCACAGCATCTATTCTTCACTTGTGCCTTCTCCAGGGCGGTATGGTGTCAGTTACAAGTCGGGCTTAACCCAGAAATGGTGCAGGACAGCCTAAGAAGGCTTGCATCATCACAGGAAGCCTTATACCTGTTTGACAAAGGTCGTGCAGCTCTCTACATAATATGGTGAACGAGGAACAAAATTATCCATGAAAATACAAAAAGCACTCCACAAGAAGTTATTGTTCGAGTAGCCAAATATTGTCCATCATCATTGATCCCCCCCCCACCAAGAACCAACAATGACAGTCTAACTGATCAAAACCAGGGAAACATGCATGTATTATATTTAGATGGTTCTTTTGATGTCAACACAGGCTTTGCAGGACGAGCATTCATCCTCCAATGTTCCAGTGGCGGTCCAGTTATTGCGAGAGGAGAACCATGTTGGCCCATCAAAAGCTATGATGCAGAAATCAGAGCCCTGATCTCGAGTCTAAAAGCAGCTTCTCAGTTGAAGTTAAACACTATGATAATATATAGCGACTCCATGCAGCTAGTCAATTTTTTGAACAACAGAAGGCAACCGGAAAGCTGGATAGAAAGGCTTCTCAAGCATCAATCGTCTTCTGTTAACTTTTGAAAAAATGTGTTTTGTACATATTAACAGAACCTTAAATCAGGCAGCGCATACTTTAGCATACCTAGCCTGTAAAGGCAGAATATCCATCTACTATAACTCGCTCTACCAGGATCATGTACAGTTTACTCTTTAATCAGTAATGGAAGGTGCTTTATTTGCTTTAAAAAAAAAGTTTCAAAGAAATTAGATATAAAAAACCCTTAAAAAGCATTTAAAATTGTTTTGAGATACACATTCAGTAGACAATCCAACAGTTTATGCTTAGCCGCAATCCTTATTGCTTTAGAACAACCATATAGCAGAATCGGTGGAAAGCTTCTCATATTCACCACAAAGCCTTTTTCCCCCTTTTTTCTTTCAGAAAAGCTAATCACTTATCAAACAAAAACGATATGGAATGAGGGAAAAAAGTGAAACTTTATTGGGAAAAATACACCGAACTGAACAACCATAGTAGCCAAAACAAAAAAGAAGAAAAACCTGGAATTGTTCGTCTGAAGCAAGCGAGTGAAAAGCCAATTCGAGCTCCGTGAGAGCATGCATGAGGGTTTCAGGGACGTATTTCCCTCCATATTTGCCAAACCTGCCAAAGGAATCGGGTCGTTGCAAAACCGTCGATTTGCTGTCTTTCTCCACCATTGTAACAGCCGAATCTCTGGTAAGAGTACAGGAGATTGAAGAACGTTTAAAGGTGGAAGGACTCAAGTGGGATTCCTCTAATTTGCGGGGTACCCTGATGGAATTAAATGAAGCAATGTAAGGCTTGCAGAGAGATGCAAGGCTTGTGGAGGAGATGGCCATGAGACATTCAGTGACACCAGTTTCTTCTTACAGACCAACCTCGGCGGCGGCGGTGGCGATTCTTCTGAGTTCTGAAACCTCGCGGATTTTCAGAGAACAATAGGAAGGCGCGGATTGATGAAAGTACGAGTAAGCCTGCTACCCAAGAGTAAGACGCTGCGCAAACTCCATAGTCCATCCATCCTCTACTTGTATCTTGTTTCATTGATGGTGAGATGTTCCTGATGTGCTGCTGAAATGCCTTGTCGCCTTGTCGGTCCAGTTTGGGTTACGCAGCATATCTGAACTCTCCTACGATCTGATGACACGAACGAATGATTGCGACTTGCGAGACCGGATCCGCTGCCAACCTCATGAGGTATATCCCAGCCGCACATCGGGATCATCTCCGATTGTTATGGGGAAATGTTACCGTTAGATGTCAAGTGGGATGTACATGTGCTGTAATTGTGAAGTTGGTGTGAATTATGTACCCTCCCGATTCAATTATGACACTCCTCTTACATCATGACCATTAGCGGTCCAAATTGAAAGATGAGCCAGTGACCGGGAGGAGGCACATGATCACATTGGAGAGCTAGAGTTTCATGATGGTAAGCTAAAGATCTCGAGGAGAAAGATGCCTCGTTTTTTGTATGTGAGAATCTTCTTCTAAACGCAATCAAAGAGGCTACGGCTCATCCCATCAAGAATACAAAACCTTGCTAGGGTTTGATAGGAGAGGCATAACCTCGGCACTGTGCCTTTTCGCAAAGGTTTTATGCCTGTTGCTCCCGATTCAATTATGACACTGCCTCTTACATCATGACCATTAGTGGTCCAAATTGAAAGATGA